GTCACTTTAAGATGTCATGAATACCGAGTGCTTCAAGTGCATCAATAACACTTCATAGACAATTGCTTACCTTTTAAAGAATTTGTGTACCTTGAATATTAACTGTCTCTGGGTCTTTCCATTTCCTTCTATATACATTCAACACATAGAATCTCATTTTATTTCTCGTGTAATATGTCTTATAGGTAACTTAATCACCAGTGTAACACATTTTATGAATTCTGTTTATATCTCACATACTATTTACATGCAAAGTGTATATGCTTAACACAGCTTTATGAGTTTCAACCGTTTATAATTAATTTATTATCTATGCCTAACATAATTAGTTTTTTAGTAGTTTCATTCATCACATGTCTTTTTCTCTTCATAGTATAATTGTGAATTCTTAATTAAGGCAACAAAAAATACTTTACAACTGAATACCAGGCAAACCATCAGGCATGTTACAGGTCCTAAAAGGGATGCTTAGATTAAAAAAAGAAAAAGTTATGTCTCCATGAAATTTCATTTCATAGACAATTGCTTAGTCTTTAAAGAATTAAGTACCCTGAACATCTTGATAAAATGTCTCACAGAGATAGTCCTTAGACACATATGCAGAAAATACCTATTTTAGGATTGTTTTCTCTATTTCTGTGAATAATGTCATTGGTATTTTGATAGGGATTGCATTAAGTCTGTAAATTGCTTTGGGTAATATGGACATTTTAACAATATTGATTCTTCTCTATTAGGTCCATTTGGTCTACAGGGAAGATTAAATTCAATGTTTCTTCCAGTCTATGAAAATGGAATATCTTTCCCCTTTTTTGGTGTTCCCTTCAATTTCTTTCATCAATGTTTTCTAGTTTTTACTGCAGAGATCTTTAACTTCTTGGTTAAGTTAATTCCTAGGTATATTATTTTATTTGTAGCTATTGAAAATGGTATTACTTTTTTATTTCAAATTATTTGCCATTGGCATATAGAAATGCTACTGATTTTTCTGTGTCGATTTGATATCTTGCAACTTCACTGAATTTGTTTATCAGGGCTACTACTTTTTTGGTGGAGTCTTTAAACCTTTTTCTCTTGTCTGTTTGCTCTAGCTAAGACTTCCAAGCTATGCTGAACAACAGTGGTGAAAGTTGGCGTCCTTGACATGTTCTAGATCTCATAGGAAAGGCTTTCATTGTTTCCCCATTCATTACAGCACTAGCTGTGAGTATCTCACATATGGCTTTTATTGTGTTGAGATATGTTCCTTCTATACCGTTTTTTGATGGTCTTTACCAGTGTTGAATTATACCCAATGCTTTTTCAGCATAAATTGAAATGATTATATGGTTTTTGTCCTGTAATCTCTTGATATGATGTATCACATTGATTGATTTGCATTTGTTGGACCATTCTTGCCTTTCAGGGATAAATTCCACTTAGTAATAATGAATAACTTTTGCAATGTGTTATTAAATTTGGTTGGCTAGTATTTTTTTCTTCCACATTTTATTTTGGGTTCAGGAGGTACATATGCATGTTGGTTACATGAGTAAACTGCATGTTGCTAGGGTTTTGTGTAAAAATTATTTTATCACCCAGGAAGTGAACACAGTACCCAATAAGTTGTTTTTTGATCCTCACCCTCCTCCCACCCTGTCCTCAAACAGGCCTCAGTATCTATTCTTCCATTCTTTTTCCTGTGTGTATTCAGTGTTTAGTTCTTTCTTGTAAGTGAGAACATGTGGTATTTGATTTTCTCTTCCTTTGTTAATTTGCTTAGAATAATGGCCTTCAGCTTCATCCATATCGCTACTATTTTGCTAAGAATTTTTGCACCAGTGTTCATCAGGGATATTGGCCTGTCGCTTTTATGGTTATTTTTTGATGTGTTTTTGTCTGGTTTTGGTATCATGGTAATACGGGCCTTGTAAAATGAGTTTGGAAGGATTTCTTCTTCCTCTAATTTTGGAATCGTTTGAGTAGGATTGATCCTAATGCTTTTTTAAATGTTTAATAAAATTCAGCAGTGAAGCCACCAGGTCTTAGGCTTTTCTTTTCTGAGAAATTCTTTATTGCAACATTGACCTGCTTACTAGTTATTGGGCTGTTCAGGATTTTTATTTTTTCAAGGTTCAATCTTGATAGGTTGTATGTGTCTAGGAATTTATTCATTTCTTCAAGGTTTTACAATTTATTGGCATATAGTTTCTCATAGTATCCCCTAACGATCCTTTGAATTTCTGTTGTATTGGTTGTAATGTTTCCTTTTTCATTTCTTATTTTATTTATTTGGATATTCTCTTTTTTTCTTAGTCTGGTTATAGGTTTGTTAATTTTGTTTATCTTTTTTTAAAAAACAATGTTTTATTTCATTGATCTTTTATATTGTTTTCTTCATTTTAATTTCATTTATTTCTGCTCTGATCTTTATTGTTTTCTACTAATTTTGACTTGGGTTTGCTCTTGCTTAAGATGCATCATTAGATTGTTTATTTGAAGTTTCTCTACTTTTTTTATTTAGGCACATCATGATAAACTTTTTTCTTAGTACTGGATTCAGTGCATCCCATTGGTTTTGGTATGTTGTATTTTCATAATCATTTGTTTCAAGAAATGTTTCTATTTCCTTCTTAATTTTATCATTGACTCATTAGTCATTCAGGAGCATACTGTTTAATTTCCATGTGTTTGTATGGTTTCCCAAATTTCTCTTGTTATTGATTTCTAGTTTCATTCAATTGTGGTCAGATAAAATGCTTGATATAATTACATTTTTTGAATTTTTAAAAACTGGTTTTGTGGCCTAAAATATGGTCTGTCCTCAGAATATTCTGTGTGCCAAGGAGAAGAATATATATTCTGCAGCAATTGGATAAAATGTCCTGTAAATATTTATTAGGTCCATTTTGTCTATGGTGTAGATTAAGTTCAATGTTTGTTGATTTTCTGTCTGGAAGATCTGTACAACACTGAACGTGAGCTGGTGAAGTCTCCAGGTATTACTATATCAGGATCTATCACTCTCTTTAATTCTAATATTATTTGCTTTACATATTGAAGTACTCCTGTGTTGAGTGCTTAAATTTATAATTGTTACTTCCTTTTGCTGACTTGATCCCTTTATATAATTACCTTCTTTGTCTCTTTTTACAATTTTTGTCTATAATAGATTACTACAGTAATAGAATGGAGTCTCTATATATTTTATAGAATTATATAATAATATAATGAATTCTCTATATATTACAGACAACCATATATAGTTTGGTTTGTCTTGTAGTTGTCTATATAGCATAATAATAAAAATCTATTTTGTCTCATCTAAATATAGCAGCTATTGCTCCTTTTCGCTTTTCATTTGTATGGAATATCTTTTTCCATCTCTTTATTTTCAGTCTATGTGTGTAGTTATATGTGTATTGTGTTTCTTAAACGCAACATATTATTGAGTCTTGTTTGTTTTATCCACTCAGCCACTCCATACCTTTTGATTGGAAAGTTTAGTTCATTTATATTTAATGTTATTATTATTAAGTAAGGACTTAACTCCTACATGTTTTTGTTTTTTCTTTTCTTTCTGTCTGTCTTCCTTTTAGTTAAGGTGATTTTCTCTGGTGATATGTTTTAATTTCTTGCTTTTTGTTTTTTGTGTATCTGTTGTATGTTTTATTTGAGGTTACCATGAGCACTGCAAATAATATCTTATGTCCTATTATTTTAAACTGATGAAAACTTAACACTGAACACAAACAAAAACTAAAAAACAAGCAAATAGACAACTTACAGAAAACTCTACATTTTAACTTCATCATTCTGCTTTTTAACTTTGTGTTGTTTCTATTTATTTTTGTACTGTTTCGTTAAAATTTTTTGTAGTTATTAGTTTTTTTTTTTTTTTTTTTTTTTTTTTTTAGCTTTTTAGCAGTTTGATTTGGTCCTGAGAATGTTGCAGTCTCTATTATCCCTTTTGCATTAATCTACTTTTCTAACCACCTTATTTAAGCTTTAATTTTTAACACTACTATACATCAAGTCCTTGAAATCAGTGATCTGTTTGTTATTTAATTCTTAAGTATTTGACACTTCTTGACCTAACAGTTTTAAAAACCACACACACACACACACACACACACACACACACACAAAACTCTAATACAGTAGGCCAAAAGTTTCATCCTATTTTGCAGTTTACCTATCTGATCTCTGTAATTATAGTTTTGTCATTTAAAATATACTATTTCAATCTAATTTTTACATTTCAAAAATTATCTTCAGTAGTAACTAAGTATATTTTCTGTGGAGCTATTTCTGAGAATGTTATTTTTCAGAATGTGAGAATATATATGTACATTTATAATCTTGTGACTTTAAAGTCTGATACCTTATGTAAATACTTGTAAAAAAATTTGTATAATTTTGTGATAATGTAGTTTCCAAAAAAATTTATTTAGAAGGTATTATGCTATTAGTAAATGTGTAGAACTGTTCCTGTTTTCTGCACTTGCCATTCCAGCTGCCTTCACTGTCCATCCCCACCTCGTTCATCCTGTCACAAAAGGCAAGGAAACTGGGAACTTGACCAAAGTAGCACTGAGCCTGGGAGGCCTACATTACCATGCTTTTCCAACTATCTTCACTTAAAAATTAAAAAGCAGAATTGAGTATTTTAAGCAACCTCCGTACCTTTGGCCAATCCTGTTTTCATGGTGGATTATGAACATTATATAATCTTTGGGAAAAGTAAAAGCAGTTCAGTTTTCAGAATAATGACAACTGCCTCACGGCATCTCTCCACTCACACAGCAACCGTGTACCCCATAAGCTGCAGCACCATCACTAACCATGACGTCAATTTCATATGCTGATCCTCACAACAGCAGTACACAAACATGCCCCAAATATTTTAACAGAATGTAGCTCTTCTTTAAGCTGTCTTTGCATAGTAAAAACAAAACAAAAACACCCAATGTTAAAACCACTTAATAAACTTACAAACTTGAAAAATTAGACAATTCGGATAGGCAATAAACTTCATATTATGAAAGCAATATATTCCAAGTTTCAAACATTTGACAAGTTCTGTAGAGTATTCATCAGTAGATGGAAACTTCCAAACTGCATGATCTTCTGCCAGGTAGGATTGAGTGTTATTCGCTGGTTTTAGGTCGAATGCATTTCAAGGCATGTCGTGGTGGTACATTAATGGTGGGATGGTAGAATGTACAGTCCGGTCTCGTACACTGAGTATTAAACCTACAGTGTTTTGGATGATAGAAGGGACATTCCATCTTCTTACAAGCTGGGAAGTAGTGGCAGAGCTGACTATTGGAAGGTGGTGCTGGCGGTGCAACTGCTGGTTTTGGAGACAGTACTGGAATTCTTCTACTCACATGAGTGAAAGGACAATGTGGTTTTTGTACACTTTGCATCATATTTACAATTTGGGTGAACAAACAAACATTTTTCAGCAAATTTACAATTGGGGAAGGCTTTGCAGAGTGAGATGGGGTGATGGTAGGCACACTCATCCCCATTTTTACAAGCAGGCCAGTACTTGCAGCGCTCCAAAAGTTTTTCTGGTTTCTGTGCCACACTCAGTTCACTCATCTCAGCTTGATTTTTTTCTATGGAATCTCCTTTTGTTTCCTCTTCTTTAATGGGAGGACTTATTCTTGGGGTCCTACTTTGTCCCTGGACCACTTCTGCTAGCAATTCTTCTTGAGAAGTTCGAGTTCTAGGAGCAACTGGAAGTGTCTGTTTCTGTGGGACTGTGGAATAGTTAGTTGTTTTTGTTACAGATTCTTGAGCTTCAGATATAGCCTTCAAAATGAGATTCTTGTTAGCTTGTTTAGAAGGCGGAAGAGAAGGTCTCCTTTCAGGCTTTGCTGGCACAGACACACTGCTGGAGATGCTCCCTGTTCGAGACCCATAATCATCATCTTCTTCCTCCTCTTCTCCATCATGATTGATTTTTTTTTTTACTTTAACAACTGAACTTACCACAGGCAACTTTCTCTTCCGAAAGTTTTCATCCTCCATACTCATTTTCTCCGAGTTGTTTCTAAAGAACAGACTATACGTTTCTTCTAAGCTGTTACGCACTTCTGGTTCACACAAACGTCCTGTTTCATATACCCAACTATTCTGTATATCAAGCTGCTTGGCAGCATGCATACTATTTTGCTGCTGTTGAAATTGCAACCTGTTTAAATGAACACCACTATCTGCATTTCTACTTGCAGGTGGTCGATAAATTTCAATAGAAGGGCGAGAAGAACCTTATGTAAGTGTCACTGTAGGTTTTTTCCGAGATAAAGGGTTCTCCTGCACAAAGTTCAGGTCTTCGTCAATGAGATCATCTGGTTCTGGCTTAATATCAATCACATCTTCAGAGGGTGCTGGCTCCCTCAAAGGTTTCACTGTTGACATTAGTCGGGTTGCAGCTCCATCATCATAAGTCTGCCTGATATTAGTGGTTTTTGACTCCTGTGAACTTGTAGACTCTGGAATCTCTTTTTTCAGGTCTAGTGCTAGGAATGGCAAGTGGTGGCGCTGCAGCTTCATGCCTCCTCTCATCTCCCCGACTGAAACTGCTCTTGTTCGAAGACACGTTACTATCAAAGATGTTGGTATCACAAGACTTTAGACTAGAAGGTTCAGCTGTAAAAGAGCGAAGTTTATCTAATACACCATGAAGCCAACATAAGCTCCTAATTCTTGCAATTTCCCCTTAATAGCACTCCGGATCTTGCGGCTGATCTCGGTGCCGATCTCCATGGCTCCGCAGCGTGCGGGAACTCAGCACTGCGCGGCGCGTAGCTTACCCGAGCCTACAGCGGGATCCGACCCCGCAGCCCTGCCACCAAGCCCTCCTCCTCCTCCTCCGCTCCGTCTGTAGTAATTAGTTTTGATCAGTTCATATTTTAGTCTTTCTACTCAAGATATGAGTAGTTTATACAGCACAATTACAGTGTTATAATACTTTGTTTTTCTAATATTTACTATTACCAATAAGTTTCGTACCTTCATATGATTCCTTATTGCCCAATAGTGTCCTGTTCTTTAGAACTGAAGAGCTCCTTTTAGCATTTCTTGTAGTAGAGGTATGGTATTGATAAAATCCCTCATCTTTTGTTTGTCTGGTAAAGTCTTTATTTCTCCTTCATATTTAAAGGATATTTTCACTGGATGTACTATTCTAGGATGAAAGGTTTCTTTCCTTCAGCACTTTAAATATATTATGCCACTCTCTCCTGTCCTGTAAAGTTTCCATTAAGAAGTCTACTGCCAGACATATTGGAGCTCCATTACGTTATTTGTATCTTTTGTTTTGCTGTTCTTGGGATCCTTTCTTTCCCTAGACCTATGGGTATTTGATTGTTAAGTATCCTGTAGTAGTCTTATTTGGGTTAAATGTTCTGGCTTTCTATAACCTCCTAGAAACTGGAATACTGATATTTTTCTCTAGGTTTGTGAAGTTATTTGTTATTATCCCTTTGAATGAACTTTTTACCCCACTCTATCTCTACCACCTCTTTAAGACCAATAACTTAGATTTGCCCTTTTGAGGCTGTTTTTTAGATCTTGTAGATATGCTTTAGTCTGCTTGATTCTTTTTTCTTTTGTCTCCTCTGAATGTGTGTTTCCAATAGCTTGTCTTCCAGCTAATTCTTTATTTTAGTTGATCAATTCTGCTATTAAAAGACTCTAGTGCATTCTTAAGTGTGTCAAATCCATTTTTAACTCCAGAATTTCTGCTTCTTTTGAAAATTATTTCAATCTCTTGGTTAGATTTATCTGATAGGATTCTGAATTTCTTCTCTGTGTTATTGAATTTCATTGAGTGAATTCTCTGTCTGAAGGATACATATCTCTGTCTCTCCATGACTCATCACTGGTGCCTTATTTAGTTTGTTTTGTTAGGTCATGTTTCTCTGGATGGTCTTGATGCTTGTGGATGTTCATCAGTGTTTAGCACTGAAGAGTGAGATATTTATGTGGTCTTTGCAGCCTGGGCTTGTTTGTACCCATCCTTCTTGGTTAGGCTTTCCAGGTATTCAAAGGGATTTGAATGTTGTTATCTAAGTCTTTGGCCACTGTAGCCATATATGCATTAAGTGATACTCTAAGCCCAATATCATCGTGGTTCTTACAGGCTTATAGAGGTACTATCTTGGTAGTCTTGGATAAAATTCAAAACAACTGTTCGGATTATCAGGCAGAGACTCTTGTTCTCTTTCCGTACTTTCTCCCAAACAAATGGGAGTCTCTCTTTGTGTGCTGAACTTCCTGGAGCTGGGGAAGGGGTGACACAAGCACCCCTGAGGCCACTACCAGTGAGACTGTGCTGGGTCAGGCCTGAAGCCAGCACAGCACTAGGCCTCACCCAAAGTCTGCAGTGACCACCACCAGAATACCACCTGTGTTCACACAAGACCCAACTGTTCTATAATCAGCATGTGCTGAAGCCAGCCAGGGTTGTGTTCTTCCCTTCAGGTGACGAGATTCCCCTGGTCCCAGGTGGGTCCAGAGATGCCACATGAGAGCCAGGGCCTGGATTCAGAAAACTTAGGAACCAATCTGATACTCTATTCTACTGCAGCTGATCTTGGACCCAATTCACAAGATAAAGCCCTTCCCACTCTTCTATTCCCTTTGAATAAGCAGAGGACTTTCTCCCTGTGGCCAGCACCACCCATACCTGCAGCAAGTACCGCCTGGCTACTATCAATATTCACTTAAGTCCCAAAGGCTCTTGAGTCAGTTTGTGGTGAATTCTGCCAGTTCTAATTCTCTTCCTTAAAAGAAATGGGCTCTCCTCTGGCCCCAGGCAGGTCTAGAAACGCCATCCAGGAGCTAAGCCCAGGAATCAGAGACCCCAGGAGCCTGCTTGGTGCTCTACCACACTGTGGCCTAGGGTGTAAAACAAAGTCCCCTTTACTCTTTTCCTCAACCAGAACCAGAAGGAGTCCTTCCCCACAGCCACCACAGCTGGGTGTGTGCTGGGTCACACATGAAGCCAGCACTGCTCTGAGTGTCACCAGGGCCTGTGTTGAATACTGCCTGGCTACCATTAATGATTATTCAGGATCCAAGGGCTCCTTAGTCTGCAGGTGATGAATCTTTTCAGAACTGGGTCTTTTCCTTCAAGCCAGTGGGTTCCCTTCTCATCCGTGGTATGTTTAGATATGTTATCCAGAATCTAAGCTTAAAATGGAGGCCTCCGAACTCTGCCTGGCACCCCATACTATGGTGGCTGAGCTGGGATACAAGATACAAGAGAAAGTCCTCTTCACTTTCCTGTCTCCTCTCTTCAAGCAGAGGAAAGGATTCTCTCTCAAAGCTGCAAGCTGCACTGCCTGGGTTTGGGGAAGGAGCACTCCCTTGGCCACCCAAGCTGGTGTCTCACTTGGTTGTGTGCCCCCCAAGTCCACTGGGTATGAGCCCAGCACAGCACCAGGACTTGCCCAGGAATTGCAGTCTCTGTGGCCTAGACTGCCTTTCAAGTTTATCTAGAACCCAGAGCACTGTGGCCTGCAGTTGTGAGGCTTGCTAGAACTCAGGTTGTAATCTCTGGGATGCATGATTCTCCTCTGCCTTGAGCTGCTCTCTCCATACACGCTATCTGAGCTCTGCCTGGTGTTGCTTTATACTGTAACAGGGCAGCACTGAATTCCAATGCAAATTTCCACAATTACTGCACTTTGTCCTCCTGCTAAGTGCACAGACACTTTCTCTGCCCCAAGCTGCTGCCGCTGGGGCATGGGGAGGGGTAGCATTGGCAATTCAAGAGTCTTTTCTACCCTCTTCAGTGCCTCTTTCCATGACACCAAGTTGAAACCAGATACTGTGCTTGCTACCTGATTTTTGGTTCTTATGACAGTGCTTTTTTCTGTGGATAGTGGTTCAATTTGGTGTTCCTGCAGAAAGAATGATTGGTGGAGGCATCTATTCAGTCATCTTGTTCTACCTTCTATCCTCTTTATCACATTTTATAAGCATATAGAGAATGATAATTTTTTAGTCACTAAAATAATAATTACACTGACTTGTTCCATTGTCATAAGTTTCTAAGTAATGATTAGAAAATTTTTAATTATTAAGATGTTTACAGAAATACTTATTCAAAACAATAATAATCACTCCATGCAGTTGTGTTTAAAAGTCTACCTAGTGATGTTAGTTTGCTATGTGAATAACCATATTTGCTTGCAAAATAAAAACACTTTTCTTTGAAGTCTTATAATTTTAAGCATTTATTAATTTGTTTATTTGGTATAAAACAGGCCCAAAGAGGAATAGTCTAAACTAATTCTGTCTTTTCAGAGTCAAAGGATACTACCTCATTAGAGAAAGAAATATAGTAAAATATAAATAGTCGATGGTGCTCACATTAATACCATTTACTATGCCAAGCCTTGTGCTAATTAGTAAAAATTCCAAGATATCAAATAAAAAACAGCATCATAACATACCTAAATATATTAATTTAGTGGAATTGGCAAGTAGTTATTTTTTGATATTATGCTGTGGATTCAAAATAAATTAGAGATTTTTGCCAATATTTTTCAGCCAGTATTTCATCAAGTCGAAGCGAAATAAAAGATTTTGCATTTAAAACTCTGTGACCTCCTAAAAGTACATTCCATGAATTTAAAAAGAAATTATATTACCAAAAACATAAGTCAAACATTTACCGAAAAAAAGAGCATTTGCTTTAAGTAATTTTGCCCCTGACAAAAATACACATATTGATAAGGGTTTACTTGGGGTTCAAAAGTGACTTACGGTATTATGAAATCTGAAAGTATGTTCAGAGAGAAAACCCAGAAGGCACCCAAGGAAAATCAACGAGGCATGGCAAACTATAGATATCAGATATGTCATTGTAAAATCTAAAGGACAGGGGGATCCCAACAATACACGTAAAATGATAGACAACTGATCTGCCAGAGTCAAGGGGACATCCAACACTGACAGAATTAAGGTCATTCCCTATCATCAACCTTACAGTCTAGTCTCTAACCGTAGACCCAAGAAGGTCTAAAGAAGTTTAGATTTCAGCAGGAAAATGAAAGCATGGGAAACAATTCTCTCAAGGTCACATATAACACATAAAAATGCACACATATAACTTTTTGTCACCCCATCTTCTGTTTTCTAGAGTGAATTTTTAATATTATATATTCTTAATAAATACCATTGTAGGTGGGTATGCAGTGAGGTGATTTCCTTCCAAATTCGCCATATAAGTTAGATGTGCACAATAAAATATTACCATGTACAGATTTCCAGCTCTGAAATTATACAGTAAGGTATAATTTCATCATGCTCTCTGTGAGTATTGAAGATGGAAAAAGATGCCCCCCTACCCACACAGCTCTTTCAATTTATTTATTTTTTTTTAAATCAAAGGTATGGGCTACGCACTAGTGAAATGCAAAGATGAGCAAAGACCTCAGAGTATCCTTCAATCTCATTGACAGGTGGAAATGCCCATGAACATCACAAGGAAACCAAGAATATATTGGTTGCTGTGGCCTAACTATGAACACTCCCAATTCACGTCTGAAGCAGAGCATTGGTCTTTAATATTTTTCAATTTAAAGGTCCATGCCAAAGGTCAGGTGTGCTGAGAGTCCTCAAAGGAGTGGGTGAAGAAGAAGCTGAAGGTTATGGGTAAAGAATAAAATTCATTTCATCTAAATGCTTGGTTGAAGAGACTTATTCTACCAGGGACATAGGCAAAAGGAATGGGACAAATAGTGCATAATCAG